TATGTTTGTCTGTCCTAAATGTTCAAAGATGTATGTTTTTTGATTAAAATGATGTCAAATGTAAATAGATTATTGATATCTACAATATAATCTTTAAGTTTGGATATGCTCCTGTTGGTAAATAAAGAAGCAGCTGCTCAGAAAATTTATTCTGATCTTTGTTCACTAATGGGAGCCATCAGGATAATTTTCATAGCCTTATAAAAAGATATGCTTTGTTAAATATGTTGTTAAGAGTCTATATTGGTTATCTAAGGCCTGAATTATAAAAATGCTATTGTAACATGTTTGTGATGGTTATCATTGTAGTTTTGATGGTTCTTTGTATTTGTAATTGTTATATGCATCATAAGATGACAAGAATGTATCAATCTTTTGTGTTTCATCATGGACAACTTGTTATGGCCGTCTTACAAATTCCCTTTCAGGTGTGGATTCCTTTGAATACTTCTAACCACTTCTCTGCTTTTATTAAAAAGGAAAGGAGGAATTGTGGAGAACCATAGATCCGCCCCTCCGCCATTTTATGATATAGCCTATGAAGCCATTTTGTATTAGGTTTAGTTTTCCTGTAGATCACATGATATGTTCCCGTGGGTGTTTGATGTATCCTTATAAGGTAATCTGTTCTCTGTATGCTGATTGGTTGCATTATGGTATATATGTTGCCACCCCTTCCGGGCGCGGAGAGAGCGGGGGTAGAGATCTGGAGATGAGGAACTAAAGTAAACTACTTGTGTATCAAGTGTGTGCCTCTTTGCTCACGCGTTGCCAGTTCAGGCCCCTGTAGTCGCAGACCGAGTTGCCCAAGGCAATCCGGCTCTCGACAAAGAGCTCCAACACCTGGAAACTCCCTTGCTGTTGAGTGCAAACTATCTGTAGAAATGCCCAGACCAGGCATGGTAGAACACACCTGTAATCTCAGCACTTGGGAGGCTGAGGCAGGAAGGGCTCCACAGTGGCTTCAAGGCCAGCCTGAACTACATGCACACACAGGGAGACCTTGTTTTATTTTTTTAAAAATGTAGAGTTCTGGGGCCTGGAAACAGTTTTGAGAAAAGCTGAACATTTGTTCAGGTGAGTTGAATTCATTTTGTAAGTCAAGAAGTCAAACTCAGTTTGGGGGCGCTGATTTGGTTTATTAATGCCCTTATCTCTGAATCAACCTTCCTTTTGTGCAATCCAACATGACTTAGCCATGACACACGCTGCTGACAGCAAGGGCCTTGAATACATGTATATTTTGCTTGGAGCCTCTGAGAGATCCATTCTAGCAACATGCAAATAAGATCACAAGAAATGAGAACTCTCAAGAATAAGGCTGTTATCGTGTCTGCCTGCTTTGTTTTGGACACAGGATGGGGCAGTAAGTAGGCAGAGGTTACAGGAGCCCCCAGACACACCCCCAAGTTATGCCTCCCATGTTGCTCATGCAGACCTTTGTGCTTTTTAGTGTTGTAACAGAGGACCAGGTGCCACTGACAGTCCCTGATTTGTATCACTCCATCACTGCGGCACATTGGCCTGTCCCAGGGCACCAAGGAAAAATCTAGAATGTGTTTAAATCACTCGAGCTGGGGTAGTAGGGTGGTCTCACATGAGGGTTAAACAGGGTGTGACAGCGCACACCTGTAAGGTCCCAGCACTCTGGGAGGCTGAGGCAGGAGGATTGAAAGTTTGATGGGGAACTTAGTGAGACCCTGTCTCAAAAACTAAAAGGCCTGGGTTCAAGCCCCAGTACAGGGCAGGGGGGCGGTGACAAAACTATGGTTACATAGCTGCCAGTAATGCTGCCCCTCCTCAGAACTAGCTATAAGAGCAAGGGTTTGGTTGCAAAACTCCAAGTGGGCTCCTTGGTCTCTGCATTCCGCATTTCCTAAGGATGCCGTCTCATTACTGGAATACCAAGCCAGCCACAGCTGTCACTTCCTGCATCCAAATATCACAGACGTCCATCTAAAGAGTAATGGCAGGCAGGCTTAGTCTGGAAATCTGGCCATCCCCTGAGCTCTGAGGCCCACTAGAGTGACCCAGAGTCCCGTGACCTGCCTGTGGAGGGCCAGAAGCAGCGCAGACCTAACCCCAGACACATTCTTTTATCTTTCTATGTATTTCTGGCGTTTAGGGTTGAATCTAGTACTGATTTTTGCTTAAGCACCTTGAAGCCAGGGGGAGGTGTTTTCCTCCTTGTGGTGGCTGGGAAGCTGCTGCGGGAATCGTGCCCCCCATTCTTGCATTAAAACCTAACCTCCCAGATGAGGGATTAGGAGGAGCAGCCCTGGAAGGGGATTCAGTCATTCATGAATGAGATCAGTGCCCTTACAAAAGAGGCCTGAGGAAGCTCCCTAACCCCTTCTACCCTGTGAGGACCGGGAAGACAGCTGTCTAGGAAGCAGGGAGCGTCCCCGAGTGCTCACCTTGAGCTTGGACTCCCAGCCTCTAGAACCGAGAGACAAAAGCCTGTGGCTGTAGAAGGCCTGTCTATGGCCTGCTGCCACCGCTGTCACAGTGGACAAAGACACCCTGCAACGTGGGCTCTTAGAACCCACAGTTGCAGCTGTTGGCCCATACATTATCACCGAGGGCCGCCTCTGCCCGCTCTGGGCTGGAGCTCATACGGTTCGTGGACCCACGGATGTGCGCGCTGCACTGCTCATGGACTCGCGGGTTCCAGGCTGTGCTAGGTGTGAGCAGAAGCGGACAGTTCACGGCAGGCTCGGATGCTTCGCCACGGACACTTTAGTCTTTCTGGACTTTGTTTTCCTCACTTGTGAAGTAATAACCGTAGTGGCTTCTTCCTTATTTGGCCACGAGGAGGTAAAAATGAAAAAAAAAGAACACAAAACAGCAGAGTGCTTGGTACGCCTTCCTGTCTGGAGGTGTACGAGTCTGAATGACCAGGACCCGTGGCATCTGCCACTGACCTCTTCTGGGGAATCGGCCACATCTCTCCTTGAACTCCCAGCAACGCGGAGTGGCGCCTCCCAGGGCCAGCGACCTCTCGCATCGCCTCTCTGAAAGGGCAGTTGCTGAGGCCTCCCCCAATAGGAATTCTGCAAGGCTGGGGACTCCCCACCCCCAGGCTTCTGCGTTAATTCCGAGGTGGATGGCACATTCTTTGCAGCACAGATGCCCAGTAATCACCTGACAGAAACGCTGCTCAATGCTGTCAGTGTTAGTTTGAAAGCAGTTAAAGTGGTGTCATATTTTATGACTAGCATTCTCCGGCTCCATGAAATAATCAAATTAGAAGAGGATTTGGGTCAAAAGACCAAATCTCAGACCCACATGGGCACCACACATAACAACAGCCACTTCACTTCCCCTTGGTATTGACCTAGAGACACATGAGATTAAAAACAGAAAAAAAAAAAAATGCCACCGAAACCACATACTTTGGCTGTGTGCCACTAGTAAGCTGACTTGCAGGTAAGCTGACTTCTTGGAAGTCCTGGGCACGGCCCCTGGCTGTGCCATTCTTAGCCACACAACCCTGAAGTCAGAAGGTGGCCGCAATGTGAATTCACACCCAGCACTGGTGAGCACGGAGCAGTACCCGACCTGCGTCTCTCCTGTTCTTTGTGGGTGCTGTAGAGGGTGCTGCTCACATCTTCACACCCCAGGGAGCAGCTGCCTCTAGGCACCAAGGGCTCAGGGGGTTTTGAGGCAGAGAAGGGCAGGGATGGGACGGTGAGTGTTCAGGAGAGGGCTGGAATGTGATGGCAGAGATCCAGTGAGCTCTCCCCTCAGAAGTCAGCAGCTCGGGTTATTAAATTCCACTGATCACCCAGAGAAAGAGTAACTGTCATGGCCACCTCAACTGAGTCACTGTGAATCCCTAGTGACACAGATGTGGTGCTTCTGTAAGACACATGGGGCCACGTCTTTTTGGTGATCTTTTTTTTTGCATGTCTGAGCGATGAATCTTAGGCATATAAACGATACATCCACAAAGTTAGACTATGCCTCAAATAAACTCAGGTTTGTACAGTAAGCTTTGTCATCCGAGTCCAAAAGTTGTTCATATTATAACCAAAGTAGGGGTTTGGTGCTCACTTCTGCTACAGCTGCGGCTAGGAACCAGTCTCAGTATCTTGCTGCTGGGTTAATTTCACTCCTTCTGACCCAGAGACCAGCAGAGGGGGAAAGTGGCTGGTCCCCACCACCCATACAACAGAACTGGATCTGGGATGCTGGCCTTAGGTCACCTACATCTGAGCCAGGAGGCAGAGGGAGGGCTACGGGAAGGCCAGTGCAGGGAAATACGCACATCACCGTTTTCTGTGGCCAACAGAAGCATATCCTGGAGGCCAGACAAGCAGGATGAATTTCCAGGTCACTTCTAGCTTGGGTGGGTGCTTCACCTGCTGACTGTCAGGCTCCGCAGGCCGGCTGTTTGTGGGAAGACATACTGCACTGCGGAAGACCAGAAGGAAGGGTGACGGGTGACCAGCTGTCTGTATGCTCACTGCCTGTGCCTGAGGCCGCCAACCCCCAGGGACGCGAAACTCACTCAGTACACTGAGAGCTGCCCTTTACCAGGGCCTTCTTTTCAGGATTTGTTCTGAGGAGGAGAAATTCGTGCAGAATCTGTTTCCAATAAGAATCAGACCAATCTGGCGACCACCTTCCATCACACGTGGCCTTTCCTCCAACAGACAAGACTAGAGGGGCATCAACCTGGAGGTGAATTTCATCTTGGAGGCTGGAAGCTGCTTGGCCACAGAGAGACTCTGCACCATGGGTCCCCAAAACTCTCAAACAGGATTGAGAATTCAGCCTCATTCAGTTCCGCTGAAGGGATGAAGGCGCCAAGTGTGTGGCTGGCGGCCTCTAGTGGCCACCGGCGGTCAAGTCCCACATCAGACTTGCTGGGAAAGAGGAGGGGCTTTCAGCTTTCCTCCCTGCAGTGGCTGCCATGAAATATAAAAACAAAGAAATCAGGGAGAAGAAACTGGTTGTAATTAATCTTTAATATCTTATCAAAGAGAAACTTGAGATACTACATAGCCATCCTAAAACAAAAATAATTTAGTCATTTTCTTTTGAGGTTATTGTATATTAAATCCTAAAACAGTAACTGTTATTTTAAAAATTCAAACTAAAAGAAAACTAGGAAAATAGAAATTTCAACATCTCTTGTAGAGAGAGCTTGGTGTCCTTTTTATTACTGTAACTATTTTGCATACAAGCAGAGTGTCCTAGCAGTTTTGCAATCTTCATCAGCTGGTTCATCTTGGTCTCCACTTTATGTCATTTACCCCATGAAAATGTCGCTTCAAAGCAGTGTTATCTGCCCATGGGGAATTTAGACAGGAGTCATCATCATTTTCTTCCAATTTCTGGAAATAAACATGCTTTATTCAGGAAGCATTTCAGGAAAGTATTTTGCACAGAGAGTGAAGAAAAGAATCCATGGCCAGCCGCCCCTCCCTACGCTCCCAGAGCAGGGCGCTTCCAGTCTGCCTCTGGGGACAGCCCTGGAGAGGCAGAGGCCCTGCAAAGACCCCTCCCCTGACATCCTGCAGAACCCCACCCCCCCATTCCCAGTCCTGAGGTGAGACTTGGGGTGCACACCTCTGGCACCAGCTCTATGGAAACCAACCCCACCCGGGAGCTACCTTGAGCTCCTCCTGCCTCCTGTGATAATACAGCATCAGCTGCTTCTGTTCCTCACTGCTGATGACAGGTTCCCGGGCTGGCGCTCCCTGTCCCCGCTGCAAAGAGGAGGGTGAGAGCAAATTATGGACTGAGGCATTCTTGAAGGGACAAGCCAGGAAGTTACAGCGAAGGCTTTACAGTTGCCTCTGCCAGCTGCGGAAGACAGCTGGGTCACCCATATCCAGTGCTGCAAAGATCCCAAATGGGTATCAAGGGGACCCTTGGACTTGAGCAGTGTCCTTGCTCTGGACTTCAGGTCAATGAAGACCAGAGGCTGCAAGATGCCACCTCTGTCGTGGACATTCTCCAGGCAGCCACTGCAGGGCCAGTGGGGACAGCAGGGCATTCAGAGCCACAGGCTCTGGAGACAGGCAGTGGTATTATGCTTTGTTCCCTCAAATTACCCAGGAATGACCGAGGAGTGCACATAAAGCCAGGGCAGCCTGCAGATAGAGAGCCCTATGTAACATCCTTGGAAGGCTTCTAGGCCTTCCTCTTCACTGGCTGAGCACTAGCAATGTAAAAAAACTTGAAATCAGTGCTCCGGGCTGTACTTTTCACTTTAAGAATTACTTTTATTTACTCATAACCCTGTTTCTTACATTGACACGAACATGGCAAGTTCTGCTTCCCTCATGAATTAAAACAAATTCCAGATACTGCTAATCGAGCCGCATCTTCTTTCAGTTTTTGTTGGTGCACATAGAGAGCATAGAGAGGACAACATTACTTTAAGCCTGAGCCCATAGCACTGAGTATTGGGATGTGTAGTTTAAATCATCAAATTCACTGTAAATGACAAAAACATGGACTGAGGCTGGGGGTGCAGCTCAGCACTAGATCACTGGCCTCGTATGCTCAAGACCCTGGGCTCTATCCCCAGTACTGCAAAAAGCAAGCAAACAGAAAGACTGACATGTTAAGGAAAAATACTTACTTGCTGAATCTTGACAATAATTTTGGTTTTTTCATTTTTCCCCACATAGTCTGCGAGCTTCTTTGTTCTTCTTAACTCCTTAGCTGCCCACCACAGCTGTGCCTCTGATTCTTTAATGACGCTGAGTCCCGCCTGGGGCCAAGCACAGGAACAGACTTGAGGGATAAGAATGGGGGTCACAGAGCATGGCTGGTGGCCTTCCCAGCAGGGACAGGCTTCTGGCATCTTGCTGTCTCTGTGCCTCCTTCTATTCTCCACCCCACTCAAAGTTCTTGATGTTTTCAGTACTGCCCCTGTTCATTTCAACTCACATCCTGAGCACTGACTCAATTAACTTCCTGCCATCTCATCTGTGTCCTCATCCATACTGTAAGGTCCCTTAGATGGATTTGGAGGGTTCTGCCATGGAGAACCCTGGAATCCTGCTCGGTGTGGGAATGGAGGCATCATGGAGCTGACTGTTTGCTGCTATGTAGTCCAGGTTCTCAGTGTGGCTTAGAGAAATGAATGCTGCCAAGAAGCACAGGAATCCATGAAAAACATCAAAGGAAAATGGAAACAAAGAGTAAGAAAACAGCATGAAGAGAAGAGGTAAGGCTGCAACACAAAATTCCATGCAAAGGGGCGGTTATGGTTTAGATCTAAAAATGTCCTGAGACATCTTATGCGTGTGGAAGGTGACTGGACTGTGAGGCACAGCTGACTTGCTGTTAGGAGGTGGGTCACGAGCAGAGTGAACTGGAAGGGTGTATTCTTGTCCCTGGCTTCTCTTTGCTCTCTCCGCTTCCTGGCTGCCATAGGTTGAGTACCTTTCCCTCCGCTATTGCCTCTCTTGCTATCCTGCTGCCTGGGAGCCAGCTATGGACAAAAATCATGAGCCAAAATAGACCTCGCCTCGAGGCTGGCTGGTGAGTATTGTGTCCAAGCAATAGGAAAGTGACTAAGACAGATTTTGGTACTAAGAGTCACTGCTATAACTATACCAGACGATGTGGCTCAGAAGCCTTTGGAACTGGTTTGTGGGAGGAGTCTGGAAAGGTTTGGAGATGTCAGCTAGAGAAGCCCTCCGATACCGTGAGCTGAGGTTCATGGGAGATTTTGATCTGATCTTGGAAGATAAGACTGCTCATACAAATGCAGATAATAAAGGTCAGGCTCAGGATATTTAGGAACAAGGACTCCCTTGACAGTTAGACTACAGACTATGTGTGTTTCTACTGGCAGAAAATTTGTTTTTATTTTGCTGATGTCCTGAAACTCTGCAGAAGATTAAGATTAAGGGTGGTAGACAAATTAATCTAGTGGGGCAAATTTCAAAGCAGCCCAATGTACAGGTAATGATGAATACTTTTAGCCTGATATACAGTGAAAATCAGGAGCAAAAAGCAGATGTGAAAATTTCTAGTTTTATCAGAAAGGAAGTACCTGGAAAGTTGGGACACAGGAGAGCATGGTTGCTGAAAAGATTAGAACTAAAGAAAGCCAAATACTTTACATCAGGATAATAAGAAAGATATCTCAGGAATCAGCAGGACTCCACCCTTCACAAGATCCAAAACTGTAAGCTTTCAATGGAGAAGAGACCTGGGAAGCTGTTAGAGAGGGCTACCTAGGGAGTTGGTTCCCTAGGATTCATTTCACTGTACTCAGCAATGCAGAAACTCAGAGGCTCCTGCAGCCATGGTGCAAGGAGGCCTGGCCACTGTCTGAGCAGGTTGCAGACCTTGATGTCATCCACCTGGTGTTCATTTTACAGGCATACAGAATATAAGTTATGGAGTCATGGAAGCTTCTACCCCAATTTCAGAAGAAGGCCTAGGAGGCCAGGCAGTGAGCCTAAAAGGGCAGTGCATGAAGCCAAGAGCGAAGCAGGAAGTACAGTGGAGATCACAGAATTAGAGATGCCAGGAACATGGACCATTTGAGGAAAGCTACAGGCAGTGGGCACAGCCACCACAAAAGAGAGGCCATGAGGGCTTTACCTCGAAATGCTGCAGGGGCAGAGCCATGCATGCCCTTGGAGCTCACATCACCTGCCTCAAGTGCTGGACATGGAGTGAGAGGATTCAATGTTTCCCCTGCTAGGTTTCAGTATTGCTTTGGTCCCGTTCCCTTCTATTCCCCATTTCTCCCTTTTGGAATGGGCATGTTTATCCCGTGCCACTGTATGTTAGAAATACTTTACTTTCTGTCTATTACACTGGCTCAGAGTTAAGAGTTTGCCTTTAGTCTCAGAGGAGACATTGGATCTGGGTTTTCTTGCGGTTTTTTTTTTTTAGCAAAGTTGCGACTGTTAAGACTTTGATGGCTCTTAAGAGATGGACTAAAAGCATTTTGCATAATTAGCTAGACATAAGTCTTTTGGAGCTCGGGCAGAATGTTATGATTTAAATCTAGAATGTCCCACTTGTTTGGAAGGTGACTGGATCAGGAGGACACGACAGTTGACTTGCTGTTAGGGTCCTGTTTGGAGGTGGTCACAGGGGCATGACTTGGAGGGTACATTCTCATCCCCAGCTCCTCTCTTCTCTCTCTGCTTCCTGGCTGCCATGGGTTGAGCACCTTTTCCTTTGCCAGGTTCCTTTGCCTTCCTGTTTCTGCCTTGGAGCCAGACTGAACCATGAATCAAAATAAACCTCTCCTCCTCTCAGTTGTGGGAACTTAGAAACGGAAAAGTGATTAAGACAGGGGCCGATACATTTGGCATCTGGGTAGAAATAAGCAAAAATCAGGTACCTGGTTTCTTAGCAGCCAGGGAAACTGAAAATGTATTTCATTACTACATGGGCTGCCTCACACACTTTCTCCTTCCTGTGTGTGGCCTAAACCTACAGCCACATGTACCATCTTCTCGGGCCCTCTCTGGAATTCAAGCTGTACTCTGAAGAATGGCTTAGCAAAGAAAGCAGTGTGATGCAAGAACTATATCCTGAAGAGGAATCAAACCTGAAGGGCTTTGGGGAACTCACCCTCCCAGAGCACCCAAGGACCACACACCTGAGTTCCTGACAGATCTTCCTTATCTTCAAATTCCATCCGGATGGGATCATACGGTGGCAACCCCATGGGATAAACAATCATCACAGCACCTCGAAGCTGGTCCAGGGCATCTTTCACCATCTCCATAGTAACACAGACACTGGCTTCCACTTGTTTCTTAAAGAGGGAAAGACATCATTATCTACAAGTGGACAATTCTTTGAATGAGTGTTGACCAAATTCTTGTACAAGATGTGCCAGGTACATCAGAATAACAAAAAGGAATCACATAGTTCTTGGTCCCCAAGTGACTACCATCTACTTTAAGGGCTGAGCCAAGTACTCCGTGGTCTAGATCATTAAGCAGGCCCAGAGAAGCATGAGAGAGGAGTGCTGTGAAGTGAAGAAAGACCCAACTCTAACAGCACAGATGGGGCAGGATGAGGAAATGCTACAGAGGGAGAAGGCATCTCAGTGAGCCTTTAACACAAAGGGAGTAAAAAGCTGGACACAGGAGCAGCATGCAGAAGCATGGAAGAGCTGGCACCAGCCCTCTCTGCTCCTTGAAAGGCAGGCAGGGGGCAGGACAGGCCTGGGGCAGGCGGAGCTTGTTTCTAAATGGTGTGAATGCCAGGCTGTGGAGTTCACGTTTATTCTGTTGGTGATGGGCGGCAACTGGCTTTTCTGGGAAGCAGTGATAAGGCTGCAAGATTAATCTTGCAGTGGGTGTAGAGCAGACCTAGGTGGAGGGAGACCAGTGAGAAGGCTCAGAAGAGTTCAGAGCAAAGGTATATGACATGATAAAGAGTACATCTAGTCTTTTCCTGGCATCTAGCACAGAGCTTCAAAAATGCTTGGAGTCACTGAGAAATAGGAGTATCTTCTGTTACTTATAACAAGCCCCTCTTCACCATACCTGAGTCTGTGCTAACAACGTAGTCCACGGTAAGGACTGGAAACTTGGTGAATGGTGTAGCAATGTTAAGAGGTGGGGGATACTTTCAGAGTGTCTGAGGGGAAGGTGATTAAGTCATCAGGGTGCCATGCTTGGCAGAGATGAGTGTAGTTCTTGTGGGACGCTGGCTAGCTGTTGGGACAGTGGGCCATTACAAGATGGGGCCACCCCACTGGAAAGGCCCCCTCGGCACGCTTCTCCGCCACACTTTGTGCACCCTGCGGCGTTCTTAGCACAAGCCAAACAGGTAGAAACCACTTGATGTTGGACTTTCAGCTAGTTTCCAAAGATGTTGAGTTAAATAAATCTTGCTTTATAAAGCAGCCAGGTGCAGATGTTTCGTTACAGCAACAAAAAATGGACCACGACAGACAGTTTCAAGGAAAAGGCTGGCCATGCCAGCAAAACCAATTACATGATGAGAGGGTTGAAACTTTCAGCCTCACTTTCACCTTCAACCTCCAGGGAGGGAAGGGCATCAAGGTTAAGCTCAATCATGTGGACAATAATTTAATTATACCTAATAACAAAATGTTGAAAAAACTCTAGGCATGCAGGCTCAGTGGAGCTTCCTGCTGGGTGGCGCATGCGGTTTCCGAGGAGAAGGCACAGGAGCACTGTATCCTCTTCTTTCCCTACCTTACCCCATACACCGCTTCCATACGGCTGTTCCTATAAGACCACCATCTAAGAGTACAGCACTTTCTATTAGTCATTCTAATAAGTCACTAAATCAGAGGGGAGGGCACAAGGAATCCTAAATTTGTAGCCATGTTGGACAGAAGTGGGGGTAGCCTGGAGACCCTGGGGCTGGTGCCTGTGCCTGAGGGTGACTTTGCCCTCTAACTGTGGGATATGATTGGAACTCCAGGTAGCTAAGTGACAGAAGTGACGAGCTTTGACCTTAAGCTGTGGGATCTTTGCTAACTGTGTGTCATTAGGGTCAGAACTGAGTGGAACGACAGGACAACTGTTGGTGCTGGAATGCGAAAGGTTACTGGGGGAACTTTAAATAAAATGGCTGTGGAAATAAAAGGAGGAGGTGGACTTAACAGGCATCCTGGGAGCAGATGGTAGAGACTTGGACCTAAGACACAGAGGTGACAGGGAAGTGCTGAAGGTGACACAGGTTACACCTGTATGACCAAGCCCATGGTTGTTCTGTTAATAGAAACAGAAGAGCTTGTAGGACATGCTTACTCTTAGGCACAGAATACAGACAGAGAGGAGTTAGGAAAACATGATTTCAGGTCTGGAGAACTTGAGTTCTGTGTGCAGGCTGACATCCATCCAGATAGAATCATCGAGAACATCATTGAAAAAAAAAAAAAGAACTACAGTAAAAGATGCATTTCCATAAATTCTCCTCAAATCATATTCCCTCACTTTAAACACACTCTTCATTCCCTCATTTTAAACACACACTTCCCATCTTTCACATCTTTAGTTGTGCTGGTATAGCCACCTGAATGTCTTGAATTAATTCAAGAGGTTTCCTTTTCAGGGTCATTTTGACTTTGGGAACAGCCATAAGTTGCACAGTGCCAGATTCAGTGAATAAGGGTGAATGAGAACACAGCATAATGTTTTTTATGGGCTGCCTTTACACTGGATGGCAATCAGCAACAGCATTCACCGTATTTTTTAACACATCTTGTAAAGACATTTGTAATCTAAAGCTATATTTGCACAAGCCAAAAAGGCTTTTGTCTGCATGGTAGGTACGAGGATAATTCTAGACAACTGCCACAGAAGGAAAGCCAGGGTCTTCCCCAGACACATTCTTTTCTTTTGCCTCTGGAAGGTGAAAGGGGGTGGGGAGTGGAGGGAGGAGACCGTATTTTTTAACACATCTTGTAAAGACATTTGTAATCTAAAGCTATATTTGCACAAGCCAAAAAGGCTTTTGTCTGCATGGTAGGTACGAGGATAATTCTAGACAACTGCCACAGAAGGAAAGCCAGGGTCTTCCCCAGACACATTCTTTTCTTTTGCCTCTGGAAGGTGAAAGGGGGTGGGGAGTGGAGGGAGGAGAGAGAGGAGGGGGTGGAGGGAGAGGGAGAGACAGGGAGGGAGGGAAGGAGAGAAACAGAGGGAAAGAGAGGGAGGGAGGGAAGGAGGGAGAGAGGGAGTGTGGAAGGGGGTGAGCGGGTTGGGGGGAGAGAGAGGAAAAAGAAAAAAGCCTGGTTGACAATTAACTGTGGAAGCCCCAGAATTAGTATTTTAAAAGATAAGCTTTCAAGAGCACCATTTTCAAAAGCTGACCTTAGATATTATTGCTTTGGCTTCTTCTATAGTCTTCTTTATAACCTGCTTCATTTTTTCATTTGGAGCTATAAAAATAAAAAGAGAGGGAGAAAGAAGTCATCAAAGACAGCCCCTTTGAAAGTTCTCTAACTCTGATGTCCCTCTGCATCTGGGAGGTTGTGAACTGAGAGGATGTATCGTCTGGAATTCAGGACAGGGATGCAGGAAACCTGGCCATAGGAATTTAAAGTAAAGATCCCGAACAAGAGCCAAGATCTGGCGTGAGCTTTATGCAAAGTGGCAGAGGACAGGAGTACACATCACTGGATAGATGGGGTCAGCAAACCTTTCCCGCAAAGACCCAGAGAGTAAATATTTTAGGTTTCCCAAGCTGCTGTGCTGGTACTGCCACCGTAGCACAAAAGCAGTCATAGGCTGTACTTAAATGAATGAGGTGGCTGCTTTCCAATAAAACTTTTATTTACAAACACAGGCAACTGGTTGAATTTGGTATATGACTCAATTAATTTTCTGCTCCCTACACAAAGGGAAAAATATCATTACTTGTAAGTTTAGAAGCAAAAACAATGGAGATAACATTCTTAAATTCAGGAAAAATGAGGCAAGTTCAAACCACACGTTCTCAATAAACAATAGTATTAATTATACGTTGAAATTATACTAGAATAGAAATGGTCAATTTAAGACTGGTTTAAAGATAAGTAATGAATGAATGGCTGATTTGTAAGAGATTTTTTTTCAAATTGATGTAATCCCTCCTAAAAAACAGAGCCTCTTCATACTGAGAACGAGTTGAGGCATAAAAAGATGCGAAAGATAATCAACCACTTTCCAGGTTAAAATTCAAAGGAAATAATACTAGTAATTCCTATTATCCTCAATATTTTAAAACTATATATATTTCAGCACATAAAGCAGTTGTTGTAATACTGTTCTGAATTTCTTCGATTCCTGTTTTAGGGACACAGATATTTGGCTGTTTGTTACATGATCAAATGTGTGTACATTAAGTCATCTACTTTGTACTCAAGTACTCTGCACCAGAGAGAGGCAAACCTGTCAGATCAAGCCATAAAAAGTTGCCAGTCCTCAGATATTTTTGACCTATAGATATGATAATTTCTTTTTTCTTTTTTTTGGTACTGACATCGAACTTAGGACCTTGTGCTTGCCAGGCAGGTGGGGTGACACTGAGCTACATACATCCTGGCCCTAGATATGGTAATTTCATGTAGTTCATCCACTGTTCCTAGACACTAACTGCAACTCAGAGCAAGAAGGCTGACGCTCCCTTGTCCACCTAATTCAGTCGGGATTAGAGTTCCACAATATGGTATTTCTCAAGTTTGTCCAGGAAGGCTGCAGTTCATTTTTTAACCTGGAGAACTGCTTCATTCTCTTGGCGTGCTCATGAGAGGAATGCTTGGTTACCTTGCCCATTCCTTCGTCCAATGTCATCCTTCTTAAACACTGCGCCCCCACTGGGTACACATCTTTCGCCCCATTCGTCCTTTAATTTCAGCTCTTCGATCTGCTCATCGGTCAGTCCTTGCATATTAGGCGGGAGAAAGACGCCATGCTCTGCTAATTCTTCCATTTCTTGAAAACAAGGGGAGGCTATTACGTAATGCATATCACAATCGACACCTCAGAACCCAGTGGAACGCAAGCTCCTGAGAGTCAGAGTCCTGGCCCCTTTGATTATGTTATTTAACGTGGACACATCACTAGCTATGTGCCAGATCTGCCTCTGACCCTTGGCAAAGTCACCAACCCACCCTCAGCCAACAGAAGCACAGAGAGCTTAGGAACTTGCCCCAGACCCAGGCAGTCTGGGGACAGAGTTTGTGTTTTAAGCCTTTGTGTTCTGTTGTGCTGCCTGCAATTCAGGAGGTGCAAAATTAATCCCCCAAACTAAATACATATTCATGCAGTGTTCCAAGGGGGGTTCACACAGACGATTTCATTTAATGCCACTTTGTGAGGCAGGCAGGACAGTTACCAACAGACCCACCTTCCTTCACAGTTCTGTCATCAAGGTTTGGTCAGATCACAAGGTCAATGTTTTATATGAACTTCATTTATGTGACTTCATAAATCGGGGAGGAGCAAAGGCCGACTACGTAGAATTTCTTCAGCTTATTGTACTGTTTCTAAAACAGCCTCAATATGAAAGGTTATTTTAAAATAGAAGCATTTGAGGAGCAAATGAACTGAGCAACCTATTCTATAAATTCAGTGGGGAGCTGCAGGGAAGAATGATGCTGGTGAGTTCAGAATCTGTTGATTTCTGTTACAGCTGCGTGGTCAGGCAGGCACTTGTGCCCCCCCTTAGGAACACAAGGCGGAAGGAGTCCAGCCCCTTGTCCCCTAGTTGCTTAAAAATGTGAACTAGGAGAGGCAGTAAGCATCTAACTCAGCTATACACCTATGCCACAGTGTTGTATCACTACATCTCCATGGTGCCATGGAAACGGCTGGATCCTCCTTCACAGTGAGGAAAGGAAGGGGGAGAGAGGAAAGCTGGCGGTTTTGTAAAGTTTCAATGTAGACTGGTTCGGGGGTGCATGTATGTGGATTAGAAAAAATATAAAGCCATGCATTTCAGTAGTGAGCATGATCCTAGAAAATGAAGGTCCAAAGGGCTGGGGATGTGGCTCAGTGGTACAGCACCTGCCTGGCAAGTGCAAGGCCCTGGGTTCGATTCCTGGTACCAAAAAAAAAAAGAAAGAAAAATGAAGGCCTTTGTCTTGTCTCTCTCTCTCTTTTTTTTTTTTGGTTCTAGGAATTGAACTCAGGACCTTGAGTTTTTGCACTTGTGAGGCAGGTGGTAGCACCACTGAGCTAAATCCCCAGCCTGATGTCTCTGTTATTTTTGATAAGCTCTCCCCACCAATTTATGTGCGTTATTTATGAAACAGTCACATATGCTTCATGAACAGACCATGACCCTTGGGTGTAAAACACACATATTTATGTACTTCAATAGATTTGTTATGTATACGTAACAGCTCCCCATAATAATGTATTCACTAGGTACTAGGTACTGCAAACACATGCTAATACATTTTTTTTTTTAATTAAAAACGCTAAAACACCAAAAGCACTTGAGTTAGAAAAAAATCATAGATGGGGATTTGGCTCAGTGGTTCTGCTGCCCATCTTGCAAGCACAAGGGCCCAAGTTCAATCCCCGGTACCAAAAAAAAAAAAAAAAAAAAAAAAAA